CCTTGGAGAGGCTCCGGCTCGGGGTGGGGTGGTCACCGGAAGTGGTGCCGGGAAGGCGAGGCCGAGCCGCTTGGAGCCGGGGCCAGCCCGAGGCACAGCCCGTGGGCGGCGAGGGGCCTGAGGAGGATTTACTGGCGGGAATCACAGGGCTGTGAGAGTAGAAACTGAGCTGACTCTGGAGGGAATGTGATAACGTCGTAAAGATACTGCAGGCGGGTATTTCCCCATCAGTAGCACGCCAGCGCTGTTGGTTGCGTGGCTGCTCGCTTTGTAACTGGCGTCAGTGTAAGCCAGGTTCTCCTGCTGAGAACGGGCTGGAAGTGTTTCGGGTGACTCAGAGCTATTATTTGGGTGAATTGTACACCTTGGGGAAAACTGCATTGAAAAGTTGGCTATTACGGTTCTAGAAAGCAAATTAAAGTGAACTCTGTGAACAGGTTGATAGGAATTGACAATATTTATTAAACGTAGGGATTAAAAGGTACTCAAATAGTGGTTTATTTATTTCCAAACTAACTGTATTTAATTGTGACATATTCACAGGCACAGATTCACAGGTGACGTTAAGAGTCACAGTTCCTCAGATACCTTGCTGAGGTTATCTGTGCTGAGGAGACTGGGAGCCCATAGGCGCATGTGGATGGATTCTGTACTGGTTTTTTCTGACTCACAGACGAGAAATTAGATGGCGCTCTGGACTACTTGAGGTGCCCCAAAACGAAGTACAGGCCTTTATGAATATCAAGATCTTGAAAAAAACACTTTTGTTCAGGATTTACATGTAATTTTTCATAATGTTAAAGCAAAACAGATGCCTAACTTTGTTAACAATGAGTAATTCCTCTTTTAGAAGACCTGTTTGAAGTGAATAAGGCTAATTCACTTGGCTGATTTCACAAAATGGGGATCAGGTCTTTTCTATGAAAAATACATTTTAAGCAAAATCTTTTGAGCTAGGAAGGCACTTCTGTTTCACAAAAAGATGTTGCAGTGGAAAGCTTATGACCACTAATAAAGGAAAAACAATCACCCTCAAATGTTTAGGTAGTCTACTATATGCACCAAGGTATTTGGGGTAATTTTTGCTTTGTTTTTAAAACAAAACCATGTAATGATTTATTTCTGCAGAGGAGTAATTAATTGAACCATGATATTAATTTATTATCGTTTATTTATCATTGTATATTTGAATTAGCAACAAAAACACTCCTTGTACAGGACACTAGAGAGCTTATCAGCATCTAAAATCTTCTGAAGTGAGACCCTATGTTATGTGGGCATAGCAGAGGCAGGCAATAGAGAAGCTCAAGAGTGAAACAATGTGCTATTTCTTGGTGGGCTGATATTGTGACTGTCTCTGGGAGCTGTGATTTCTAGGTGGAAGCTTGCCTCTGTTTTGACTTGACACTGCAGGTGCAGCTGACTATCTGTGTCTCATGAGGTCTCTGAACAAAAGTTGCAATGCTAAGTTGTCAGTGTTTGGAATACTTTCAGACCCTGTAACAGGAGGTGTAATAGGGCAGTGCTGAACAAGTCTCACATGCAGAATAAGAGTTTTGACATGAGTTCTGGAAGATGACTTTCAGAACAGTTCACGAGTAAGTCTTGATGAAGCCATTTTTCCTCATTTATTCCAGTTCCTGAAAGAAACAGCAAACAAATAGGAGTATTTCATATCTGAATTTTGTCCTCATTTTTTTCATTTCTGTACTCATCTGACACATTTCCTCACGCTGTTCCTTCTGCTCTGTTCATATGGAGATCATCTGGCCCTCATGATGGTGAGGATTCGGTGTGGACAAAGACTGCAAATTCATTGCCAAACAGATCGGTTTCACAGACTTATCTTTTTCTAAACTGGAAAAGAGCATGCTTGCTTAAACTCCTCCAGTGATTAAAAAGGGAATTTTCAGATATGCTGAATGAAATGGAGAGTAAACTGAAGTTACCTTTCTCTTTGGCATACTTTAAACACCCTTTACACCCTGCAAGCAGTACTTGAATTGTTGTGCTTTGCTGGTGATTCAATAATCAAAATGTTATTTGTAGTGTCTTTGTAGCAGGCTGCACAGATTAGGAATTTAGTCACTGCTATTAATATTCTTCCCGAAGCGGAAAACCACAACTAAGGGACTGAAATATGAAGAAAGAGTGGGGGATGGAAGAAAAATGAAAAGCTGCAGCATACCTTTGTCCAAGGTTTTCATTTGTGTCTAACCTTCTCTGTCATTTCTATCCTTCTAATTCTTTCAGGATATGATAGAAAAATGTCCTCTTTGACTACAGAAAAGCACTCTCAAATTTCTGTGCCACTACTTGAAACATGGTGATGCTTTTAATGCAGACATTTTCCGTGGCCTTAACTGCTCACAGGTCTGTACCAAAACCAAAGTAGCCACTGTGAATACCTAGTAAGTACTGTTCATAAACATTTTTATAATGTTTGACCTTAAGAGTGACCTGAAGATTAATGGATATGTTGTATCAGTTTTAATGGGTCTCTTTTCTCTTGGATACACACATGTGACTCCCATTAGTCTTAATGGGAGTTATATGTGTGCCTAGAGGTTAGACAAGATCTCTAAAGGTGCTGTTATGCTCTGTTGTATTAACGATCTCATAATTGCTGAGGTGCTGCACCTTTGCATTGAAAGCAAACTAATTAAATTGGTCTAGTATAAGTTGGTATACTAGCATACCCAGCACGTATGTGTGTTTTCCTGTGAGTCTCTCAGTACACAGAGGTACCGGCCAAATCAAATGTGGAATTCAATTTTTTTGTGTGACTTGACTTCCTTTGTAATTGTTCTTTGTAATTCAAAATGATTTCATGAGTTTGATTCCTAAGAAAGATGATTGTTCGTGTGAGTACAGGGGAAGAAGCTGAATGTGATGTTTTATTTTATCATTAAAGGATGTAGTGAGAAAAGACTGAATTGATTCTTATTTTGATGTTGCAAATCATGCACTTTGAAAAAAGGCAGTTAAGTCTCAAGGATTAACCTGAAGCTTGATGTTGAATTTTAATTATGGCTTTGTTACTCGTTTCTTCCAAGTGCCTTTAGACAAAGCACTTCACCTTTCTTTGATTTCCAGATATGTAAAATATCTACTTGCTTCTTAGTGTTGCAGACATAAATTAATATCTGTTCTATATTTTGGAATTTTAAGATTGGTACATCCAACTGTATTCTGTTGGCATAATCATGACAGCACAGGAGGAGAAAAAATCATAGTATCTACCTGGTACAGCCGAGCAGAAGTCCTAGTGATGATGTAGATCTGTCAAGAGAACTGATTCTGTTCCATAGTTTATGATGTGTAAGACAGTGCATTGGTAATGAAAAAAATTTGGTACGTTTTTTGGTGGAAAAGATTGTACAGTAGGCAAATTGACATTGTATAGACATTTGACATTTTCATAGATCAAAATGATAATTAGAATCAGATAGTCACTGTGAAAATTTGCGTGTCTTATTCCCTGTCTCCGTGCATTTGAAAATCAACCATGATGTAGTCTTCTTTGAAAATACAGATTTGAGGAAAGAATGAATCTTAATATTTACATTCTAGAGGAAAAGAAGGGTTTATGTGATAACCTTCACATTTAAAGTTGATAATTTTCTTTTTTTCTTTTATCAGATAAGGATATTACATAAATCCAATGTCACAATTTATTTTACTATTTTTGAAGTAACAGATCTTGTGGCATATTTTTGGGTGGGTTTTTTTTTGTTAATATAATTATTTTATTTTTGCCCTTATGTGATTCTTACTTTCTAGTAGAAAGTAGCAAATTTCATAGCATCACACAGAATCACAAAATCAGCTAGGTTGGAAAAGACCTCTGAGATCATCGAGTCCAACCTATGACCCAACACCACCTTGTCAACTAGACCATGGCTCTGTGTGCCACATCCAATCTCTTCTTAAATACCTCCAGGGACAGTGAATCCACCACCTCTCTCCACAGCCCGGTCCAATGTCTGATCACTCTCTCCATAAAGAATTTCTTCGTAATGTCTATCCTAAACCTCCCCTGGCACATCTTAAAACTGCCCTCTTGTCCTGATGATAGTTGCTGGGAGAAGATACCAGCCCCCACCTGGCTACAGCTTCCTTTCAGGTAGTTGTAGAGAGTGATAAGGTCTCCCTTGAGCCTCCTCTTCTCCAGGCTGAACATCCCCAGCTCCTCATAGGGCTTGTGCTCCAGTCCCTTCACCAGCCTCATTGCCCTTTGGACCTGCTCCAGCACCTCAGTATCCTTCCTAAACTGAGGGGCCCAGAACTGGACACAGTACTCAAGGTGCGGCCTAATTAGTGCCAAGTACAGGGGCAGAATCACTTCCCTGGTCCTGTGGGCCACACTGTTCCTGATCCAGGCCAGGATGCCATTGGCCTTCTTGGCCACCTCGG